AGCTTAGTCCCAGAAATAACAACACACAAATAGTATTCATTTAAGCACTGCCTGGCCCATTATCTCTAGAGAGTTAGTTACTGACTAACTCTCATATCTTGATATTAACCCATTTCTATTAATCTGTATCACACCACGAGGTGTGGCTTACCGGGAAAGATTCAGCATGTCTGACCTGGTGGCTGGTTCCATGGCTTCTGCCTCATTGCCCTCTTCCCAGCATTCTGTTCTGTTTACTCCGCCTACCTAATTTTCTGTCCTATCAAGGGGCCAAGGCAGTCTCTTTATTGACCAATGAAACTAACACAATAGACAGATAACCCTCCTCCATCATTTCCCCTTTTTCTGTTTAAACAAAAAAGAAACGCTTTCATTTTAACATAGTAAAATTACACATAACAAAACAGTTATCAAGCAAGAATTACAGTCACAATATTTATAACTATATCTTTATCATAATAATGGAAAACTATAACTATAACTATCCATTCTTCAGCTCCATCAAAGACTCCAGAAGGATATAATATTACCTAAGTAAACAAGAAGTAAGCAACTTCCAAAACTCTAGAAATGACAGAGACATCTCGCTGCCTGGACAGTCACCCAAAGTTCCTCTGTATCGTTGGGGCACCCATCTTTGGCCTTCAGGCCCATAATATCCAGAGACATTTCCATGAAGCAGGAAATTTCAAAGGCAGTTCAGTCACTATCTGCTATGTCCTGCAGAATGTCTCGCAGACTCTTTCATGAATCAAGAACCTCGAAAGATCATCTCACCTTTAGGCAAGTTCAGCAGTCCTCTCTCTGTGGGTTCTCTGTGTCCAGCTTATACAACAGTCCAGGCAAGAGCAGTTTCTTGCCCAAATGGCTAACCAGCTCCATAAGGAGCCTCTTCGATGCCCATCTTCCTCTTGAAGTAGATTGGTGCTGCCAGGAGCAGACATGTCTCATTGTCCTAAGTTATTAAAACATTAAATGCTATGTTCTGTAGTCTTTGAAAGATATGAAGAATGTCTCTCTGAAATATATCTATGCACATCTACAAAATCAAACTAACATTACTACAAGCTTGACTATTATCGATGATTATCCATTAACAACCTATATTTTTAATTATACATTGCATTTTTAAATGAACTATACAATCACAATACATCAATCAAGATCAGAAATATATATACATATAACAAAATTGACCTTAAAATCCATAACAAAGCAAATTATTCATATCTATATCATATCCCCCTTTAAATGTAAAAGAACATTTATAAACAATATTTGGGAATATGGACGTAGTTATTTCTCTCCAAACTTCTTCCTGCTGTATAGGGGCGCAGTTAATCAGGTTTTTCATGGTATAACCTGTCTGCCAGGTTCATCTCAGTCGGCAGTTGAGTGAAGACATTTTTTGAGGGTGTTCACAGAAACCTTTCAGGAGGGCGTGGTCTATCATACCATATTGGGATAGACGCAATCCACAGGGTCTCATCCTCTGTGAAAACAAAAGAAGAACCTCCTTTCCAAAGTATCATGTCCTTAGATCCAAATTCAGAAGTCAAGGTATTTTGAACATATCTATCTTGGATTAGTTCAGCAGCATTTATAAACAAATATCTTTTAGCAGCTGTTGCTCCTTCCTCAGCATTCAAACAATTCAAAGAGAGCATAATAGCATACAGTATCAAGATTCTCTGTGTATTTTCCATCTTTATGCAACTTTATTTTTAACCTCTATTTCTTTTATTTTTACTTTTACTTTTTGACACAGGTTCTCTGTATATCTTTGTCCTGGAATAACTCTAGACCAGGCTGTCCTTGAACTCAGAGATCTGCCTGTCTCTACCTCCCCAGTGCTGGGATTAAAGGTGTTTGCTACCACACCTTGAACTCACAGAGATCTGTCTGTCTCTGCCTCCCAGGCTTTGGGATTAAAGGCGTGTTCTACCACACCTTAAAGTCACAGAGGTCAATTTACCTCTGCCTCCCAAGTGTTGGGATTAAAGGTGTGTACCACCACACCCAACTACTTTCTTTCTTCCTTTTTTTACTTTAAGAACTTTAACTTTTATACTGCATATATTTTTAACACACTGTAAAACATTTAGAGGTTTTCTTCATCTTTGAATCTTTCTTTACTGTATATCTCTCTTTTTCTGACCACATGAGTCTTTAAGGAGAGGATTAAAGCCGTGGCTTTGACAGCTAGATCCAGCCCATTTCTTAACTTTCCAGCCTCACGGCTGAGATACCAGCCAGAGCTGTGTTCACTGCCACAACTCTATGGCGTTTCATGGTCCTTGCCAGCAAGCAAACTGCAACATTCTGCTCACAGACCACACTCAGTCGGACTGCCTGCCTGAAAGAGTCAGAGATTGCCCTGGCAGGACAGTCCAGAAAGCCGGCATTTTAAAACAGCGCAGCTTTTTTCCTGCTACGGCTGAAAACCGAAAAGCATGCGTTCAGCTTTTGATCAACACCGTTTAATTGTTTCATGGCAGGACCTCTTAATGAGCTGCAGGGTTTTACAGCTAAAGCTGAGTCAGGAAGCCTCTCTTAGATGAGAGCGCTTGTTTGCCTCTAGCCAGCAGAGCAGACCTGAGAAATTGCTGCTACCAACAAAACATGCTTTACTCTATTCGTTCCCAAGCTTTCTCAAGCTTTCTGTGGATTCAGTTATCCACATTGGCGCCATCTGTAGTGAGGGGCTGCGGGCAGGCCTGCTTTTCATCCCGCCCAGCTCCTGCATGGCTAGCTTAGTCCCAGAAATAACAACACACAAATAGTATTCATTTAAGCACTGCCTGGCCCATTATCTCTAGAGAGTTAGTTACTGACTAACTCTCATATCTTGATATTAACCCATTTCTATTAATCTGTATCACACCATGAGGTGTGGCTTACCGGGAAAGATTCAGCATGTCTGACCTGGTGGCTGGTTCCATGGCTTCTGCCTCATTGCCCTCTTCCCAGCATTCTGTTCTGTTTACTCCGCCTACCTAATTTTCTGTCCTATCAAGGGGCCAAGGCAGTCTCTTTAGTGACCAATGAAACTAACACAATAGACAGATAACCCTCCTCCATCAGTTGATTCCTCCCATTTCTGTCCAGACCACCGAGAAGCAAAATGTAATCTGCTCCGCTGAGAAAGGTACTGAGCCGTGTGGCTAACATAGATAAAAATAATGGGCTAACATAAGTTATAAGAGCTAATAGGTAGCCTGAGCTAATGGGCCAATCAGTTTGTAATCTCATGGAGTCCTCTGTGTGATTTTCTTTGGGGCTTGCCAGCTGTGGGGTACTGGGCGGGACAGAAATTCCAACAAACAGCCCGACCCTCATGTTACAGGGCGAGTGCTCTTCCCTGCTGCTCTCACAAATACCTGGCAAAAGCAGCTTCAGGGAGAAGTGGTTTCTCTTCACTCAAAGCAGGCAACACCTAGCCCCATTGCATCCAGTGTCAGGCAGGCGAGAACGAGGAATGGGTACTTCTGCTCAGCTCAGTTCTCACACTCTCCAGGATCCCAGCCAGGAAATGATTGTCCCACCTCAGATACTGAGGTGACGATAGCCCCCAACAGGCATGCCCAGAGCCTGGTCCCCTAGGTGACTCTAGTTCTGTCAAACTGACTCAACAGTAATCATCATGTGTACTGTTAGCTAGAGATCCCCCCACCCCAATTTCCTTATTTTTGAGACAGGACCTTATGGTGTAGCCCAGGCTAGCATCAGACTGAGAAGCCTCTTGATACCCTTTCCCTAGTGCTGGGATCACAGGTGTACACTGCTATGCTAACTTTCATTCTTTCTGTTTTCTTGCCTGCCTGCCCACCCACCCATCTGCCCGGGTGCTGAGATTAAAAGTGTGAGGTTGAATACAATTATATTTTATCTGTATAGTATATACAAAAGAAACTATTCATTCCTAAATAGATATTTAGGTTGTCCCCAGATCTCTTTTATTTTGGTTTTATTAGATAGGTCTCACGTAGCTCAGACTGGCCTTGAACTCCTGATCCTCCTGCCTCTACCTTCTTCCTGAGTGCTGGGGTTGTAGGTATAGGTGTGTGGTTCTCTATATTGCTGGAAATATGACGTGGTGTTACTATCTCTTTGAGATTATCTATCATCTATCTATCTATCTATCTATCTATCTATCTATCTATCTATCTATCTATCTATCTATCTATC